ATGAGTCCTGGAAAAGCAGTGAGGGAACAAGTATAACCTTAGTCACACTGCAAACATAAGAGATGATGATGATGATGATGATGATGTTTGTGTGGGTGTATATGGGTGTGTGTTTTCCTGTTTTATTAGGGACATGCCAAAAAATCCTAGCAAGTCCATAAATGAACTACAAGTGTACAGGGTGAAGAGATCCCCTTTAGGCTTGCCAAGAGTCAAATTTTATTTCATGCCTAGACTAGAGGGAGCAATTCAGGATAGCAAAAGTAGTTCTTAGATAGGTGGTAGAGGGGCAGAGAGTTGTGGGTATTAAGAATCAGCTGACTGATTAAAACTATGGTGCTCAAATTGTGGTAGTACTCACCAGGGATTCGGGGCAGGGGGAGACCCACATCTTAGGGATGTGGGGAGCATTGTGTGTGTGGGGGAGGGAATACCTCAACCCTTCTTAGGGAGAGGCAAAGATATACAATGTAACCAAAATGTCAAAAAAAAAAACCAAAAAAAAACAAAAAACCTTTTATCGAGTGGTGGGTGTAGGAAATAAGAACCGTAGAAAAAGTAAGGCTAACAGCTTCTTCTAGCTTCTGTTCCCTAAGCTTGCTTTGCTTGCAATATATATAGTTTGAGTGAAGCCATATAGGCTTCAGCGGGTGCTGGGCCCCAAAAGGGTGGTGACCACAGGTCATTTCCTGATAAGAGGATGGAAAGTCTCCAGGGAGCCAAGATAATGCAAAGAAAGGCTGAAATAAAATGCAGAGAAAAAGCCCTGGTTCTAGAACCAATCAACTGACAGCCTGGGACCAACCAGAGCCAATCGGGAAAGGGATGCAATAAAATACTGGGGAAAATTGCGGGAGGAGGGAAGAAAAGAAAAAGTATTTAAGAGATATCTGTAGCCTTAGGAGGGGTCCTTGTCAGAATAGAGGCCACTGCTTTGGTGCTCTGAGACTCAGACCCTAGCTGGAGCTACTCAATAAAACTCCTTTTGATGATTACAGCCTCAGTGACTCTGTCTCTCTGTTTTGTGGTACTTCAGATTCCGGCTCTAGCAGTGGGCAGGTGGGAGAAGGGAGGAGGAGAAGGGTGTATACTTACATAATGGGTGCAGTGCACACCACCTGGGGGTTGGACGCACTTGAAGCTCCAGCACAGTGGGGGTGGGGGTGGCAGGGCCAATATATGTAACCCTAACAATATTTGCACCCACATAATATGATGAAATAAAAGGAAAAAAAAAAAAAGAATCAGCAAGACAGTAAAAGCAAGAATGATCAGTATCAGTTAAAAAATTTACATAGTATTTGTAAACATTCCTGCAGCCTGTATCTTAAAAGGAGAAGATTTTATCCTACTGTAGCTCCTTACCGTGAAGCTGATAGCCTAGGAAAAGCCCCATTGAAAGGAGCCTATATTTTTATATTACTAGCTAAATGTTTTTTCACTTAAAATAAACTGGGCAATGGTTGTGTCTGACCCAAGGGAGAAGTGAAATTCTGTTAACCAGGGTTGTAGGAAATTTTTGGTATGAAACTCTGACAAATTAAGTAACTGCTATCTTGGTCACTTTTTTCCCCTCTCTCCTATGGTTGACTTGATTATAGATCTAGAGCAAAGGCAGATACCCTGACCCAATCTGATCTGAATTTGGCCTCCAGGGTTACAGCCAAGACAATTTAATAGATCTTTGTTCATCTCCAACTTCCACAGGGTTCAGCACGTCTCAGGCAAATCATTGATTGCTTTAATGAAATAATATCTAGCCATTTTGTAATTATTATTACAATTAGTCTACTGCTTCCTAGCAGTCTAACAACTATACTTTACCAGCGAGGATTAAACAGCTCTGGTGAATGAATGTGTAATCCCAGAGTTCTATGAGTTTGGCACAGTTGTCTAGATCTTGCTTTCCATTATCTTTCACATATGAGAAACCCTATTATAAAGCCTGTTACTATGCCACAGATTTATTTTTACCATAGGTTAAATCGTTTGCCTTGAGGACATGGTAAATGGTGAAATCTTCTTTATTCTTCACAGCCTAGATTAAGAATTATCTCCTTTAAGAAGCCTTTCCTGAGCACACCTACTGGAGATTGAAAATCTCCCTGTGCAGCACATTACTAACTCTTTTTTTTTTTTTTTTTTTTTTGAGACAGAGTCTCACTTTGTTGCCCAGGCTAGAGTGAGTGCCGTGGCGTCAGCCTAGCTCACAGCAACCTCAAACTCCTGGGCTCGAGTGATCCTTCTGCCTCAGCCTCCCGGGTAGCTGGGACTACAGGCATGCGCCACCATGCCCGGCTAATTTTTTATATATATATCAGTTGGCCAATTAATTTCTTTGTATTTATAGTAGAGACAGGCTGGTTTTGAACTCCTGACCTTGAGCAATCCGCCCACCTCGGCCTCCCAAGAGCTAGGATTACAGGCGTGAGCCACAGCGCCCGGCCCATTATTAACTCTTTAATTACAGCATGGATCTCCTTACATTAACAGTGGTATTTGTATCCTTTTTAAATATTAGGAACAGGGATTGGGTGATCTCTAAATTCCTAATATCTAGCAGTGGAATATTATAGGAGTTCATCAAAGATGTCTTGAAGAAATTGGAAAATAAACGAATGACTCGTTTCTTCTTTTAGACATGAAAATGTAGAGAAATGGCTAGATATGGATTTTTAAAATACAAGTAAATTTTTTTTTACATTAGAGGAAATTAAAAAGAGTAGTGTCCTGTGATCCAACAATTTCTTTTTATTTATTTATTTTTTTTGAGACAGAGTCTCACTTTGTTGCCCAGGCTAGAGTGAGTGCTGTGGCATCAGCCTAGCTCACAGCAACCTCAATCTCCTGGGCTCAAGCAATCCTGCTGCCTCAGCCTCCCGAGTAGCTGGGACTACAGGCATGTGCCACCATGCCCGGCTAATTTTTTCTATATATATTAGTTGGCCAATTAATTTCTTTCTATTTATAGTAGAGATGGGGTCTCGCTCTTGCTCAGGCTGGTTTCGAACTCCTGATCTCGAGCAATGTGCCCGCCTTGGCCTCCCAGAGAGCTAGAATTACAGGTGTAAGCCACTGCACCCAGCCTCAACAATTTCACTTTGGGCTCTACTCAGTCCCTCATTCAACATATATGACCTGAGCCCCTACTAGGTGGTCAGCCCTGATCTAGAGATGGGGGAGTCTAAGGTGACTGACACAGATAAAGGGTCACATTCATACAGCTAACATTACAATAGCACATTTGTTGAGTGTCGTAATTTTTTTTCTTGTCTTTTATTTTTTCCAAAAGGCATCTTGAAGAGAATTCTGTATGCATTTCATGTCACCATCCCTCTACTCTACCACCCTCAGGCTGCCTGTCCTGGTACCTCCTCAGGAAATCTGGGGCCCAACAAGGCATGGTTTGCAAACAGCAGCTGTAGTGCATTCTGTGAAGTATTAGCTTTTCTTTAATGTTTTGTTTTTTTACAACCAGCTATTTTCAAAACAGTGATGTATTTATACTGAGCACTTTATATGGTCTATCTCATTGAAGACGTGACAACCATCTTAGCAGGTGGACAATAAATGTTATTCCTTGATAGAGCCAGCATTAGACATGCCACAAAAGGGAGGTGGAAATGGAGTGAAACAGGAAGAGAGAAGGAAAGAGAACACATTTGCTAATTTTACTCCCATGTACTATCTACTGTCACTATTAAAGAGATTGAGATAAGCAAAAAAAAAAAAATAAATAAAATAAAAGCTGAGAAAAGCTCCATATAGATTGAAGATAGTTCTAACTTTTGCATTGTGGGTGTTTTCAGGTTTTTTTTTTTCTTTCTGACACATGATCCATTGTTTCTGTCTGTATTACTGAAGAAATGTTTGATAACAGAAGCCATTTGTATGTATCCTTGCATGTGTAGATTGTTTTTTTCTCTGCACAATAACATACAAAAACAGAACAAGTAATGTCCTGAGTAAGTATACTTAGTCCCTAATTATTCACAGCTTAAGTTGTTAGAGCATTTTTGTAAAAAGAGTCAAAGTAAACAATAACCTAGATTCATAACACTGGCTCTTCAGTGAGAAAATACCAGGGTATGAGTCATTTGCAAATGAATCTGTTTTGCATTGTTAGTGTTTATTTCTCTGTAGGACTGCTGGATTTAGAAGGCATTGGCTGTGATGTAAGTATGATTTAAAACTTTGCCTATAAATTGGGCTCTATTTTATTCTGTGTGTTTGATCCTCGGCATATCCCCTATTCCCTCTTTGCTCCTCTTCTATATTCCCTACTTTTGCTCCTCCGCATTGTGGAAGAAAGGAGGAATACTTTTGTTTTGTTCCTTTCTGAGTTGTCCATTGCCTCTGCTTGGACAGAGGGAGCAGCTGGAAGCAGCCAGCCCTCAGGCGGGTAATGAATAAGCACCGATTTCTTGGTCCTGTCTGCGATCTCCTGTGCAGATGGGCTTGGCTTGGAGCGGCCAACTCTGAATGGTAAGAAGGCTGGAAGAGAAACCTGTGGTATACAGCGGGGTTGCCTGAGAATGATGCACCTAACGCTATCCTGGCTCCTCACATACACCCAGACAGCCAATCTTAATGAGCACTACCTGCGTACAAGGTGCAGTCCTCCCAGGAGTAGAAAAAGAGAGATGAGCAATAAAGGGTCACTTTCACTCAGGAACCTTACATTTGTTTACATTACAGAGGACCTGAGGAGACATAAATGAGAGTACATTTCTGTGTGAGAATCTCTGGCACTATTTGCCTAAGAGCCCTGTGCTACTCCTCCAGGTTGTGTCTGTTTATAATCTCTAATTCTTAGCTTACAGTATCTGCAAAGTGAGGATAATGATACCTTATAAAACTGTGGTGGAATTAAATAAAAATAGTGTTATTAATGTGCCCGGGACAGTGCCTGGCACATGGTGAGTACCCATCAGATAATAGCTATTGTGAGAGAGGCTACCTGTTTCCTACAGAACATCTGTTCCCCTTTTCATTGTGAGTAATAGAGTCACTATCACCAGGGGCAACGACGTACCCAGATTGAACAAATGAATGAACGAATGAATGATCAGCCAAGCCTATTTTTCCTAACTTCTTTGACAGGTAATGAGGGTGAGTGAGACGTATGAAGGCACTTGGTAGGCCTCTGAGGAAGCTCTTTAAAGGGAACTGACTCAACTGACCTCTGGTCCTTCCTGTTGCTCAAATCTCCGCCCATATGGCTGTAGCTACAGCGGCCATCTTGAACCACGTGATGACTCTGTGCGGGAAAGACATGCTAAGGATGGGAGGACCAATTAGCAGGAGGTCTTGTCCCTGAACTCTGGAGCCGTCAATCTCAGCTCTGGATTATCTTTAGAATTCTTTAGGCAAGAGAAAAGTCAGCGTCTTTTTCATTTAAGTCACTATTATTTGGGTGTTCTAGTTGAGGCACACCAACTCTAATTCTCACTGAAGTTGCTTATGACATTATTAGTAATTTAAAAAGATAGACAAAGTGGGTGAGCAGAATGTCATCTTAATATCCTCACTGAATTGGTGTGCAGCATGTGCAAGCCCACAGTGAAGAACACAGACTGTGAAAGTTATGAGAAATCAATGGAAGCAGGGGGATGGGGGTGTGGGGGATGAGTGTGTGTGTGGTTAATCACTTGGAATCTATAAATCCCACAAGAAAAGTAAGGCAGATAAAACCAATTCCATCTGCAGTTAAGAATTCTGCGTAGTTCCATATTTTATATGTAATTCACATATTACATATTGAAAACAAAACAAACAGAAACTTACAACACTTTACCTATTTTAAAGCAGCAATGTAATAATATTTGCGGTGTGACTGACAGTCATTTAGGGGAGTCAACCTATATACTACTTGCTTCATCTACAGTTGTCCCCAACGGCTCACCAACCTCTCCCCTTCCTGCATCTAACATCTTTTCATCCTTCAGATGGCAACCTGAAACATGCTTTCTCAGGCAGGCCTTCCCTCACGTCTTTGTAAAATATCAGACATCATCTTTGTTTCTTTCAACTTTGCCCTGTCCCCTAGATTATGGGTTCTGTGGTAGTGGAGACCATGCCCGTCATTTCCACAGTCAATGTCTCCAGAAGCTAGCCCTCGCCTGGTACTGGAAGAGTTCTTATTAGATAAAGAATGACTGAATGAAGACTGTTCTTCTCTTGGCTTAACAATAGCCAAGTATGATTGGACAACTGGCGTGGATAGTCAGGATTTCAGCCTAAACTATACAGCGTGTCCAAGGAACCGGTAAGCGATTTTATGATTGTGTTTGGTGGATTTTAGTATCAACGTTAGCCACTTTTGACTTTTCTGCTCAAAGAAATAAAGGACCTCTTAATCAATTTTCTTAGATGAAACAAAGGGAGGTTCCAGTGAATACTAGCACCTAGCAGATAGAGAATTCCCTGCTTGCCCGTAAGGCAGACGGGTATCTCAAACCATTGACAAGGAGACAGAAGCAATTGGAGCCTCCTGGCTGAAAGCCCATTTTTCCAACAGCCCTCAGGCAAATGGACAGTAGGTAAAAGAGCCGGTTGAATAGGACTGGCTGTGCCTGTGAGATGTGATCATCTGGTGAGCAAAAAAACTGTGTTCAAATTGGCACCCATTGGAGTGGGGCTGGGCCAGCAGGGTCAGTTGACTATGGCCTTCACAATGTCCCTGCACTCAGCCCGTTCACATGGCTTGTTCCTCTTGCATCTCACATTGCACGAGAGACTGTGATGTGCAAAATGAGGCCGAAAACAACAAATGGTTTCAAGGTAATGATCTCATTTCCTGCAAATCTACTGCTCATTAAGCATTTCTTTTAGTTTTGGTTGTTTTGTTTTGCTTTTTTGAATTTTTAAACTCTCTGCCCTAAACGGACGTAATTCAATTGTATCTTTTTTATTAAAAGAGATTAAGATTAAAATAGGTCAGGCTAGAAGTAGGAATAGGAATAAAATTATCTCCTATAATCGCTATGGGAATTCCTTCTCCTGGGAAAATTCAACTCTCTTTATAATAAAGGAATTTTCAGTTCTCTCGACTTATGATCAAGAACAAGTTCTTACTACACCTTGAAAGCCAAACACAGCCATCACCACTGATCACTCCAAATGCCCTCAGTGTGTTTTTAATGTCACTACTCAATCACTTTGCTGAGTGTCACTAATCTAAAATGTGAAACATTCAGCCTTACGTCTTCTCTGTGCCACCTTTATTTTTAAAATTTTTTATTATAAAAATGTCTAAGCATACAGAAAATCGGAGTGCAAGCATCCAGCTTCAATAACCATCACTATTTTGTTTCTTTGATCTTTGTTCCACCCCACCCCCGCCCCCACTCCCTACCACCACCACCATCACACACCTTTATTTACTTATTCTTTTGCTGGAGCAATTTGAATCAAAGATACAACCCAGTTCCAGCTTAAAATGCTTTAGTTTGCATTACAAATATAATATTGCCCTGCATAATCAAAATTCCATTACTATACCTAACGAATTTAACAATAATTTCTTAGTATCATTTAATTTCGAATCCATAATTAATTGTCCTGTTTGCCTTTAAAAAATGATTTTTTACAGTTGGTTTGTTCAATCAGAATATAAACAAGGTCTACCTATTGCATTTGATTATTTTATATGTAAATATCTTCTAAATTACTTTTAATCTAGAACTGTCTAGTCTGTGTCCCATTTTTATTTATTTATTTTTTTCCTCCTACTGACCTAATGATTGACTTATTAAAGAAAGTAGGTCAGAAAATTCCACATTATGTATTTATCTGCTTCTGTTATCATTTAACTAGTTCCTCTATTCTTTATATTTCCTATGAAGGGAACGTTGGATATAAAACCAGTTGGATTGTGGTTCAATTTATTTTTGAAATATTTCATTGTTGGTATTGCGTTCTCTGCAATATTTTACATTTGGAGGCCAATAGTGTTTATCTGACTTTTGTTTTTAAGAGGGAGGGGTCTCATTCTGTCACCCAGGCTAGAGTGCTGTGGCACAATTAATTATAGCTGATTGTAACCTCGAACTTCTGGGCTCAAGCAGTTCTCCTGGCTCAGTGTCTCCTGAGTAGCCAGGACTACAGGCATGTGCCACCACACCTGGCTAACTTTTAAAATTTTTTGTGAAGAGGAGTGATCCTCCCTTGGCCTCCCAAAGTGCTGAGATTACAGGCTCGAGCCACCACGTCTAGCGCATCTAACTTTTAGTGAGGATAAACTTGATCAGGGGTCCAGGTACTTGGATGTTTTGACCCAACAGCCAAAGGGTTGAAAAAGTTCATGATGTGAGATTTTTGCCAACTTCTCTGCCTCCCACCTTGCTGACTCAATGTTACTAATGACTCAATAATGGATTCCTAAAAGCAATTTGAAAAATATTACCTCTAGTACTGCATCTAACTAAGCTCATATAAACGGTTTAAGGGTGGCACATCATCCGTCTCTGAATGAATCTCTAGCGGGCTTTATAGGACAAATGATTCTGATCACTGTAGGACTGAGTCCGATTTTCAGAGACATTAGAGAAATTGATGGGGATTGATAAACCCAAATGGAGCATATTCTCTATGGTTTCTAGGACAAAACACCAGGTATATTAGTCTCTATATTTATAAATAAAGGGAGAAGAGTTGGATGAGGTGATGTCTTAAGTACTTTTTAGTTACCAAAGTCTGTGGTTTCATGCCCAGCTTTAACTACACTCTGTATTGAGTCAATCTGGACAAATTGCATCTGTACATGAGTACTACATACTGCTTTGCGTACCAAAACTCAAAAGCTAGCCTCTAAAGGAGTTTAGGTTCAATGTTGGAAATGCTTCTGCTCCTTAATAATGGAAGGATACATTCCAGACTCTGACTTGTGTTTACATATGAGTTATTTGTTCATGCTTTGAAACTCTGGTTACCCCATTAAAAGAGAATGGAAGAATCACAGAAAGGGAAGGGGAGCGAGCAAACAGACAAGCAAAAAACCCCACAACAACTTGGTCTGACGAAGACAGCAAGGTAAAAATGAAAAACATCCTTCTGCCCATCTTTGCTAATGTCTACATGCTTACAGACCTACATTCCAAAGAAATGGCTGAGAAAAAGGACCACACCTCTCAGTCCTTCTCTCCCCTAACTCATTTAGAAGATTTTGGACTGACACCTGACAGAAAAACTTGGGATATACAGATTAGAAAGGAGAAGACTTGGGGAGACACAGGGACTATCTTTAAACACTTAAAGGTTTCTCATGTGGAAGATAAATTAGGATCATTCTGAGTGGTTCTGAAGACAGAGAGCACAGAAAGGGACAAAGAATGAGAGGAAGAGGGAGGTAGAATTTAGCTCACACTAGGGAAGTACTTTCCAAGGGTAAATTTATGAGATAATCTTAACACATAGTTGTATGTTTCTCCTAGTAGCAAGAATCTCTCTATCTGGAACTGAATGCTAAATGCCTGGGTGTTTAAAACTTTGTACAGCATTCTGGTTTTGGGGGTGGGGCAGACATTGTATTCTATGGTCAGTGTTACTTGCCAATTCTAACTCAATGATTCAGTGCTTTCTTACTCATCTTTCATCCTCAGCTTCATTTTCTCCACAAAGGTTTCACTCAGAACTGTCATGAATATCAATTTCTCCTTTATCTGATTTCCTAGCATGCCTATTGTTTGTTCCATACATTATAGTGCTTCGGATTAGCATTTTGTTATATATGTATTTAGATTGGTCTCCACTGCTTCATCTATATCCCCACCCTCTCCCCTCCCCCCCCCTGCAAGATTGCATGCTCCTTTATATTGTGGGAACTGTGTAATATGTTCTTCTTTTATGTCCCCCATGGTGCCGTGTTCATGACTGAACACATGGTTTGTGTTCAATAAATACATGTTGAAATGGATTGAATGGATGTTCAGGGACTTCCATCCAAGGAAGTGAGGCTGCACTGTGAAGGCTTCACTTTGAAGGGGAAGAAAATCCAACTGCATTCTCTGCCACGGCTTCCTTCAATTCCACCACAGTTGCTCACCGCTTTCCAGTGGGTCTCTATCCTCCTTTTACTTCTCTTGACCTCTCCACGATCCACGTCAGCCTAAACAAAAAGGAGCTATCTTTAGCTTTAACTCGTCTGGTTAATTCTTCCATCTTTTAGGGGGCAAAGGAAACAATTTTTGTGTCAGAAACCTTTCCTGGGGTAGCTAAACTAAAAATTATTTTCCTCTCATTTCCTATTGCTCTAAAAAGGGTAAAGTGGTACAACACCACATAAGCACACCCAAATGCACGCAGATACAGACACACTCACAAACGTATGCATATACAGATACACACACATACACAGCACACACAAATATATGCACCCACAGACACAAATTCATACATAATACAGACACACACAAGCACACACAAAGTGTGCTGAAGTTACGGTTCTAGTTGAGCCTTTGCAATTGTGCTGGTAGTATGATCTTGTGCAAGTTATGTTACCTTTCTGTGCCTCAGTTAATGCAGCTATAAAATGGAGATGATATTACTTGCCCTACTGACCTCTGAAGAATTCTGTGGCTAGGAAATGAGAAAGGGGATGTGAAATACTATGTAAATTAAAAACTGCATGGGTATTGAGCAACCCTTGTTGCTTTACATCAGGCGTCCTCAAACTACGCCCTGCGGGCCACATGCATCCTGCCAAGGACATTTATCCCACCCTCCCCGGTGTTTTTGCCGCCGCTGCCTGTCCTGCTTAGCAGCCAACTTGTCCCAGGCCCACAGTGCGCATGTGTGGAACTTGCGCTGCACTCTCTAACAGCCCTCCAATGGTCTAAGGGACAGTGAACTGACTGCCTGTTTAAAAAGTTTGAGAAGCCCTGCTTTACATTAATATGAAGAAAGAAAACCAGCCTTTCCTCGCCTCTGAAAGATTTGCCAGGTACAAATTGAAAGTAGATAATCCCCTGCATGTGATTGAGATGTGTTTCTCTCTCACTCCCTCGTGGGAAGAGAGGGATCCCAGAGCAAAACTAAAATCAAATGATCTTCTCATATATTTCAAATTTATGGGAAGCAGTAGCCACTGCATTGTTAAACATGTGGAATCAAGCACTCGGAACCTGTAGAAGATCAATTAGTTTTGTTTGTTTCTCCAGAGCAAAATTCTCATTCAACATTTAAGTATACATGCTTTCATTCTTTGTGTTGATTCCTAATGCTTTCAAATTATAATGCAAAACCCCAAAGCTGATAAAGTGATTTTTTTTAAAATTACTCTTTTCTTCCATAACAATATAGAGACTTGTTTTTTCAAAGATGAAGAATGGTGGTTGAAATGCTTACTGTTCCTGTGTAATTTGCTAATGCTTTCAGAGATAGGAATGTAACGTCTGTGGCAGACGCATCAAACAAGTGAAAAAAAAATAAATTATTTAAATGTATAACCTCTTGTTCAAAAAGAAATATGTGATATAATGTTTAATTTATATTTTCACTACCCTTAGATTTATTATAATATATGTGAAAAGCACAAGCATTCCACTAATTTGAGAATATTTATTTTTTCAAAAGCATACAACAATATATGAAATCATTGACATTTTTTTCTTTGCCAGCTCTTGTGTCCCCAGACTATCCAGGTGACAGCCACTGATGTCATCTTGAGACTAGCTCAGGTTGTGAGGTGATCCTGACCAGAGTTGGAGGTATGTTACTTGTCTATACCCCTCTGCTGATGGGGTTGCATCTCAGCTTTATGGTTACAGAATGAGATTTTGGAGCGTGACTAATAAATCCTCAAAGACATTTGTCCATTGACTTTCAGCCTTCTCCAACCTCCTCAGCTGTGACTTCCTCATTTGTGCTGATGCAGTTTTCATGACGTGTCTTCTGCCTTGGTTTCTCCATTTAGCACTTTCTTATGCTATCACATTAAAGGTTGAAGATAAAGCCCTGCCTGCTTGGATAAAGCCCTGGTAGACTACTGTATCCTTGAGACAGCCCTTCCCCAGAATCTTGGATTGCATTCATTATTCTCATGAACTGTCTAAAGGTCACGGCCTTCTGCATTGTATCAAGATCCACAGAACACACCACCCTGACCCTTTTCCCTCATACCACAGTAGGCTTCCCCAACCCAACAGTCTGAGGTGTGATGGAAAAAAATGTGTAAATGCAACCAGCATATGCATTAGCTCAGTTTATGTTGAGCTCTGCCTCCACAGTGGAAGCCATTTCCCTTGTAGGTGGACTTAGGACCAGACTCATGTTGGACCCCCTGGTGCTGAGGCAAACTGCTGCCTACATTCCCATGGCCATATTCCACCTGCTAGCTTAGATGCCCCTCCTCAGCTAGAAATCCTGCCCCTTCCCTGCATATGGGTGGGTTAATGCCCATAGCTCCATTCTTTCTGTTTCTGGATTTTGCTCCTTTTGCCACAGACTATAACATGACCATCCCTGTGCACTCTACCATACAACATGAAAGGAAGAAAGAAAGAAAGAAAGAAAGAAAGAAAGAAAGAAAGAAAGAAAGAAAGAAAGAAAGAAAGAAAGAAAGAAAGAAGAAAACTTCAATCAGCTGCATCTATGGATTTTAGTAAGAACTTTTTCTAGTGTCACCTATAGATATATAACATATCTTTTATAATATGGCAAAATTAAGTGCAATTCTTACTTGGTTTCCTTAATGGGTTTTAGTTTGCAACTCCATAGAGATTGTTTAAGTTCTTTAAAGGCAGGTAAGAATCTTCTTCAGTTTATTTGATACCTCCTATGCTCATTTGTATGTTCTCTGAACTAATTAAGTCCTTCTTGAAGAATACATATTATACAACCAAGAACAAGAAGAGTGTCTTTAGAATTAGGAAACGTGTTCTCACAAACTCTGGGACTATCTAGACGACCATGATAAGCCATTCATTTTTGAATTTTAGTCTTACCATCTGTAAAACAAAGGAGGTAGACTAAGTTATACACAAAGTCCCTTATAGCTCTAATGTTCAAGGATGGAATTTAATGCAAAACCCAAACTGTTGTAGTAAAAAATGTTATCAATTAGACGATTCAGTTTATTAAAGGCTCTAATGTTTGTATTTTAATGAAGCTGAAATTATTGCTATTGTATATTAATGAAAGCTTGCTTCAATAGCAATGTGGTAATAAAAGACCAAAAGACAATTCCATACTTGTTTCTTATTCTTAGGGGTACAGCATCTATTCCCATGGTTGTAAAGTAGAGATGTCATATAAAGAAACTCAGGCTGTGTAATTTGAGGATATTTGTGTACTTTAGACAAATTATTCTACTTATTCAGGATTCAGTGCCTTCAGCTGAGAAACGGACATAATTATAACTATCTCACACCTTTCATGGAGTTGTGAGACCTATGAGTTATGAGAAAGCAATTTGTAAATATGGCACACCAATGAAATGCAAACTAATGTAAAATTGTAAATAACTTCTAATCAACTGTATTGTCATTATTCCCTAAAGTAGGAGTTACAAGCCCAACTCCTACAGAGCTAGGTGTTGATATAAACCGATGAAGCAGGTAGGTCATAACATGCTAATGGAATCATACACTGGACCTCTGCTTTGCAAAAATAATGTCAAGTTATAGGGATTGTGGCAAACTAGAAAGTACATGCTTTGCCTGAAGAACTGGTGGCTACTGATTTCCAAGTCATCATTGCCATGTAGAAAGGCAGATCGATGCACTGTGGGGAGAATTTCCAGTATTTTGGGAGGGGAGTCTGGAAGTCCAGATTAGTAGGTACAATTCCTCAGGATTTAGACTCTGGCAAGCAGTTCAGATTTAAAATATTATATGAACCAACATTAGCTACACCATGTAAAATATACCTTTCAGCCAGACTTGGTGTGAAGGCCACCAATTTTCAGTCTGTGACCTAAGCTTTATTCCTGTAGCACAAATCCTTGCTATATGCATGTATGAGACTTTCAGTCCACTGTGAGAACGGCTTCTTTCACTTAGCAATAATGGTCGCAAGGGATTTAATTTGATTTGGGTGAGTAAAGCCAGAGACCCCTGGAGAAATATAGGGTGACAATTCTAAGAAATGGAAAATGCAAGCTTGTTGCACAAATCTGCATCCTGCCTACTACCTGAAAAGGAGATTTCCTGGATATCTTAATGATGGTTACCAAAATGACAGCTAGCAACACACAGTCAGAGTCTGCCATGGAGCACAATAGCAGATTAAGTGTTCAGGTTCCCAAGAAACCTTTGCTTTCATTGGTCCTATATCACAGATCAGTCTGTTCTATAATAAGATAGCATAATAGTTTCAAAACTGATCTGGTGTCATCATGAAGACTGAATTCTAATTCAAGGATGTGTAATTCATCTTTGAATGCTCCATGGTGCTGAGCATATCACATATGTTATGAATAAGTTTTGTTGAATACTGAGCAAATCTGTAAGTTCTACGTATGCCAGAACACAGTAAATTGTCTGAGGACCACATAGTATAGTTAAAAACAAAACCAAACAAAATAAAGGCAGGGAAAGAATGATATAGGAATCTAACCTGGTTGTACTATAGGTTTTACAATCACATAATGGAGAGATCTTCAAATCTCCAGGACTGAATTTTATCATCTGCAACATGCAAAATTTGGTTAGATACTAAGTTTTTTTTCTAATTCTAACAGTTGATTCTCTTCTAACCTTGAAATGAACTATGATGCCTAACGAATGAAAATTCTTTTGGAAAAATTAGGCCTTTTCATGTTTTGCCTTTAAGAGAATGTGAGCTAGACACCTTAGCCATTATTTGGTTCCCAGGTTCATTTCCTGTTGTTTGCTTTAGAAGAAAAATAGTTGCTGTCCTGCAAAACTGGCTTTTAAAAAGTTCCAAGGTATATTTCACTTTATTCCATTAATGGACATGCTAATGATCCAGTCAAACAACACTCTAACCCAGGTCCAGTTACCTAAGAGGTCAAAGGAAGTACAATAAAAACAACATTCTGGTGGGAAATTCCAAGAAACAAAACCAGCCCCTGGAGCTGCTGAGATAACACTGACATTGAAATGCATTTCCTCACTTCTGCTCACAGATAGTAGAGAAGAACTACACTGGAAGCCAAAAGACAGGTGCTCCAGGAATTTCGATAGATGCCTGACAGGCTAGCATTCATCATTCAGTCCACCATGAGAAATGGTGATCGGAGACTGATGTTATCAAACTGCTTAATCTCTCTCTCATCACACTGCCTTTTCCTGAACCTCGCTACACAATGTTCCGGAAGAGAGACAGTCATACATTTGCCTCTGACTGCAGTTTCTGGTCATCAACAACCGGGGCCAGTCCCAGGACTACTTGTGAAGTAGAAGAAGCATGTCTTTAGTGTCTGTAGCCCCCTTTAGTTTTGCCATTCATTTATTTACTTACTTCAACATTTATGTATTCATTCATTCAACAAACATTCATTGTCCACCTTCCCTGGCCAAACACAGTTCTGTTCCCTGGGATCTAAATATGAATCGTACATTTGTTGAATCAATAATGGGTGAGTAAATGAATTAATGAGTAGACAAGAGGCATCGTTTTTGCCCCTAAAATACTCCCAGTCCAGTGTGAAAGACCGGAAAAAAGAACATTATAGTTCATCATGGTAAGTGCTATGGTAAAGATAGGTACAGTGTAATGGGGTCCATTATGGGGTCCATGATGCTCCCAGAGAGGCTCATGGAAGACTTTCCCAAATGGAGAGCTCTTGTAGGTTATTGTATATAGCAGCCAGCCTCTTGGAGTAATGATCTGGTATGGAAGGCTTGAGGTTCTCAGCTGGTAGACAGCTGGTTCAACACTCAAGTGAATGAGATGACTAGGAGGAAGGGACAGAGGTATGGGATGAAAGAAGAGGCTAGAGACCAGAAGCCTGGGGAAGGACTGTGTTTGAGGGCACACCCTGAGCCCTCTCCCTGAATCAGTGTGGCCTGAATTTCTAACTTGCATTGTGATAGACAGCTGTGCTTTTCAGTCTTCGTGCCTGCAGTGCTGATCAAATCTCTCCCCTGCATGTTTTCCATTCCTTGTTTAGGTTAAAAAGACTAATATTACTTAAATTAATAGGCTTCAGTCTCAGAACTAAGGGAAATTGTAGATACTAAATAATATGTAATATATGAACAAGGCTGAAATTCTGCTGGTGGAATTTCAAACATGAAGCAAAAGTAAGAAAGGATTTTCAAGGAAGTGAGTTTTCCCTGCTGGCCATGAAATTTTCTCTGTTGTTCCTTTTGTCTGTGGCTTAAATCTGGCTCATCTACTGTATCTATAAACATTTCAGGTATATTCATTGAAAAATCTATTGTTGCTGTAGTAAATATATTATGAGAATAAAAATACCAGGTTGTTATTATTGGTATTATTATTAATAAGACTCCCATTAAGTCAGGCTCTGTGACAAATGATTTACATACATGTGTCACTCAATTCTCAAGATAAAGATTTAAGATAAAGAAGCAAGAAGCATGATTGAAACTATTAGTTTGGCTTATACAGGAAAATATTTGAAAAATTCTAATCCAGGTATTGGAGCCTATGTTAGAAATATTAGGTTAAAAAAACCCACAATAGTTAATATTTTATAAAGATTATAAATTTGTTAATATAACTAAAAGGACACAGATTAATTTTCTTAAAATAA